CTTGTCGTTTTATTGAGTTACCGCGTTAATATTGCAAGATCTGTTTTTGAATGGGTTCATGAAAGCCACTAGTTTTCCATGAGTTAGTTGCGAAAGTTTGTTTACATACATAAATATGCGTGCATTCTCTAAGACTGTCGATGCACCTTTTCTGTAAATTATCTTTATTTGTCCGATAAACCTGAAGTTTGCTAATGGAGATTGGGACAGTGACCTCATGGTCATACACGAATATTAAAATAGGGTTTGGAATTGTGATTAAGAATTGGAGTTACTGTTTTTCTAAATTATGCTAACTTTAATGTTAAAGTTCGTGAGTCTACATGCTAACTCTTAGTCCTATCATAATATATCGTTCACATGAAACTTCTACCCCCTGGTTGGTTATGAAGGGTTAAGGACCCACTGCTTTTTAGCAAAACACTAGTGTATTGGTTGCGAAGATTGTTGATTTTTAATGAGACCAGAAACTGATCTAAGCTAAGCAACTTTTAAAACCAGATGTGGAGATAAGGGCGAGGATTGATAGAACATATGGAATTCAAAACAGCTGTCAACCAACATGAAAGTCAGAATCTTCAATACTCACGTCAAGACAGTTCTACTGTACTAAGCTTAGGCGCAAAGAACTAAATATCTAAATATCTGTCTACACAAGACACTCCATATTCGTGGCCGACTACCATCAGAAACAGCCTACTGTGGGAGAGAAGAAGCCAGCTTCCGTCTGGAGAAGAAATTAAGAAAAGACTTTGGGAGTGGATAGGACACATACTGAGGAAATCACCAAACTGCATCACGAAGCAAGCGCTAACTTGTAATCCTGAAGAGAAACGGAAAAGTGGAGAACCAAATAACACATTGCGTCAAGAATCGGAAACAGACATGAAAAGGATGGATAGCGACTGGAAAGACCAGAAAGGAATTACCCAGGATAGAGTTCGATGGAGAATGCTGGTGGTCGGCCTATGCCTCTCGAAAAGAAGTAACAGGTGTAGGTAAGCAAAGTAAACAAACTGATTATATTTTACTGAATACACATGCAAATGGAATCACATTTCGTACTCTCTCAATTCGCTGCAACATGAATAAGTCTCTTGTGTACCTGATGCATACATTTAAATACGGTCTCTCCCAACCATAATGTGGTCAATCATGCATTAATGTATTTGTATAAAACATTATGGAATATCGTTTCTCTGTATACCTATTTTCGGACCTAATAGGCACTCACCCATTGAGTACTTGCTAGTAAGTCCTACATAACTCATATGTTAACGTAGTTTGGATGGCCGAATTTAAATCGATCGATACACTCCATCCATATACAAATCAAATGGATCTTTATTGAAAACTATCATCCCATTCTTTTTTTTCGCCTCTGGGTTGTCTAAATTTAATATTTTCGCACACGAGTGTTTCCCGAACCTACGATTTCCAAATCACATTCACACTATTATTAAGTACTTCTAGCCAATCCATCTGAGGCTAAATACAAACGGATTTCATGTAAAATATTTATTCCCTGAACTGTTGGTTAGCAATTCTAGCAATCGTCTGTCCGTACATGTCATTCAATAAGCTGTCCTTCTCAATAATCGTCGTTTCCTTTAATTATTATAAACAATATACCCGAATGACACGTAGATCGAGTCAGTATATACGATAGTATCACTTTCACGTATGGTCATATGGATTAAGGAGTTAAAACTGTTTCCACTCGACCGAAATCAACTGGTGTTTTCATTCAACCTGACTTACGGTATAATAATCACGTATTCGGATGTCACGACTCACTTGGACGACCTCTCGAAACAGCGTTCGAAGGACTCTCCAAAGTCCTTCAGGGTGAACTTAAGTATCATATCGTCGATATGAACGGAATTAAAGACGCATTCTTAGAAGGACACCCTAAAAATGTTGACTTTCCCATAGTACAATCGAAAGACATAGGCCCCACAATTACAACACTTCACCCTATCATAAACCGTGTTGACGAAAATTTGGTAGTATCTGACGGCCAGCCTAAAACAGTGCATTCTAAATGGAGGGTGTTTTCCAAAGCATCTAAACGATTACTACACATAAGACACTATATAACGCATTGTTTCGTCTCGATTTTTGCTTTAATTATGTCGAAAAAGACGAAAACAAGCCTCTTTTATACGCTGATTTATATTTATTTTTTACTCAAAGAGAAAACAAAGATATTTCTTGGCTACCAATACGCTTATATGAATGAAATTTTTTCGAAAAAATATAACAAATATTCATTGTGCGAAAACCACTCCCACGCTATTGCATGTATACGAAACGCATGTATGTATGTTTACTTTCCTTTTTTCCACCCGTTTTGTTTCCTTACGCATGTACGAATGTAGTTCGACATGCAGCTGCACATTGTATTTTTCCTTTTTCAGGACGGCTGGAACGGATGAAAAACCAACGGAGATTACGAAGAATCGAAATACATTACCCTGTATAGTAAGGAAAGACAAACCGATGCTGCTGAACATAACAAGCTATCAGAAGAACATTTTACAAAGAAAAACTCGTTGAGTTTAAAATTCTGACTGGTCACGTGCTAAGGTCATCACTACCTCACTAAGTAGAAAGTGAGATGTAGTAGCAAATAAATCCCTCAAAGCAATGGTTCTGTACGTTTTCGACATTTGATGCCGACAGCACTAATCTCAATGGACTTGTAGTGGCATAGTACCATAACCACACAATCCTGAAAGCTGAGCACGAGACAACTCGGAAAAAATTGATTATTTAACGCGGTAAAACACTTAACGATGGGGAAGGCGGGAACAAGGAGTTGAATTCATTGGAGTTAATCGGATGGCATGGCTCGGCCTTGTCTAAGCTTATTCTACATCATGTATTGGTGATTGTTATAATACGATGAGTTGGTGTAGACGATGGTATGACTTCTACGTAAAATCTTATAGATTAGGCAGTTATATCGTGACAAGTCTACAATTTTAGGATTAGGTCTATTGTTAGCACAGTACTAATATCATAGTAGACCATAATGCTACGGACTAACTTAGCTGAAGACGCTCGATCATGCATCCGCACCAGATCACGAGTGGATAAACCATGCTACATATCCCTTTCAACTATTAGTCAGCCTAGACAAAATATTCCTCAACGTAACGACGGCCTTATAAATATATCTTCGAACTCCTTCATTTTTGGTTTCTAATTTGAGCGAGTTGGCACAATTCGATCAAAAACGTGTTCCTGGTTAAGCTGTTGTCAAACTCCGAATACTTGTAGCATCCTTACGTCCACAAAAATTTGAAATAACTGACGAATCACAGCGTCCGGACGAATAAAGAAGCTTCTGCATAATGTCCTTACTAAACCAGAAATGAAATATCATTTCCTTGCAATGTCATTCATAGTTGATACAATATCGTATTTTATTACGGTTGTGAACAGATCTCTTATCCAAGCAGGAGGTTAGTCACATCGAGAAATTCAGTGCACAAGTAGAGTATCTGGAAATAGTCGATTACGTCTGAGAGTTCGCTGACGGCATTTTGATGATCTTATAGTCATCCTGATTTCCTAGATTACGTAACAGCAAACAACTACATTATCAAATGGTTCAAATGTTCAAATAGTTGTGGACGGAATAGAAGAAGCTTTCGCTTAACAGGCTTCCGTGTCTAGTAGCAGGGGATCACTAAATCCTCCAGGCAGGAACCTAGGTATATTAACAATAAAAGAGGAAAAAGAAATTGGTAAATCATACTATGATGCTGTCCCTGGTCCTTAAGAATAGGTCAAGTTGCCTCTTAAATGACTCTTGGGAAGTCGCTTGGACTAGCTCGGCCGGCAGCGAATTCCAGCATTTGACAACTCTTAAGGAATAGAAGTTGTGTCTACAGTCCGTTCTGCTATGTTGTGTCTCCAGTTTTTGGGTGTTACCCCTTAGGTTAGTGTTGGAACTAAGCTTAAGTAGGTGTTTAAGAGGATGTCCAGAAGTGTTAAGGATACTGTAAGCCATCAGAAGGTCACCTCTAAGACGTCTATACTCTAATTGGTAACGGTCTAGTGAATGGAGGCGCTCTTCGTAAGGTTTGAATTTGAGTCCTCGAACTGATTTCCTGGCTCGCTGTTGGATACGCTCCAGGGTGTCCTTATCCTTTTGGAGTGAGGAGGGAAATACCATGTTTTCGTACTCTAAATGGGAATGGATAAAACTATTGAAGATTATATGGAAAGTTATTCCGTCGAACTATCCAAAAATGCGCTTCAACGTTACCAAAGCAAGGTTTGCTCGGAAGGCATTTTGTCACAGTTAGCGTATGACTTTAAATAATGGGGCATCTGGACTCCTAAATCTTTTTCGACTTGGGATACTACTAAAGAGGAGTTTCCCAAGTTATAACTGTAGTCTGCAACATGTCGCAGATGGACTACTTTACACTTTGAAGTGTTAAGAGTAAGTCCATTATTATCTGCTCAACTTTGGAGTCGAGTCAGATCCTTCTGAAGTGCCTGCATATCGTCTTGATTGCGTATCTCTCTCCAAAGTTTAACATCATCGGCAAAGAGTAATAATTCTGACATTACCTGTTGAGGAAGATCATTTATGTAGATCAAGAAGAGAAGAGGTCCTAGTACTGAGCCCTGGGAAACCTCACTAGGACATTCCATAGCCTGAGATATGGTGAAATTAACCCTAACCTTAAAGTGTCGATTTTTCAGGTGTGAAGTAAGCCAGTCGATTAGAGGTAGTCGGACACCTAGGCGTTTGAGCTTATTAATAAGACATAAATGGTTATTCTTATCAAAAGTGTTTGAGGAATTTAGGTAGATAATGTCAGCCTTTCATTTGCGATCGAGGATGCTTGTCCATCTGTCCACCGCAATCAGCATGTTGGTTATACCAGAGTAGCCCTTCCTAAAACCATGCTGTTGGAGTGAGAAGTACATTATACTCAAAATGTCAATCTTATAATAATACACTGACCTAATGCTATTGGTTTGTCAAAGTCCTCGGGTTGTTAAAAAACTGTACATTGTCTTGCAAACGTCTTTGTTTTACTGAACTAAGAAGTTATACTGTCAGACGAAAGATCTGTTTCAAGTAGTAAAATATGGCTGACGCAGGCAAAGTGTTAGAAGATATCGACGGTTTTGACAAACAGAAGTTACGGCATGTTGAGACTGAAGAGAAAGTCGTATTGCCAAACAAAGAAGGTAAGAGGCAAAGGTTCTCGTTTTTGTTTTCGTACTATCTGCTTATGTAGTTTTGCTTGCTGTTTGGCACCCCACTAAAAGGGAGTGATAGTATACTATCACTTAAATCAATTGATGAACAACAGAAAACATCCTTTTAATTACAATACAGTGTACTTTTGTTTTTGAGTATTGGTTCAACTATTCCAAAACTCACCCCAACACTGTGTGTCAGTAATTAGAATAAAATTGAGCCTAGCTGCTATTGAGTTGGATTGTCCCATTCTGTTGTTGCTCATTCTCATGATTTGGGGATAGTCTTACCAAATTTTACATCAACTAAACAGACTGCCGCCTTAGCTTGTAGTCCTTCCGTTGTCATTGTTTCTATGAGTCTCCTCAAATTCTGTTCGGTAAATGTTGTCTCTGGGTATCGGTAAGCTTTAAAATCCTAATTTATCAGATTGTTCTGAATTGGCCAGTAAGTAAAAACCGTGTTGACTTAGGGTATGTACGGATTAGCATTTTTGTTGATCAATCGCCCAACCTCATTACAGGTATCAAGGCGTACTGCTCATTGCAGTAGGCTACGCAGAAATATGGTCAAGGAAGTGCGATTGACAACTTGAAAAGCTATCTCAAGACTTGTAAAGTGTAACGGGACTGCTATGCTGTTTGTTTTAAACTTTCAGATGACGCTCCTGACCACACCTCAAAAATCCACAGCTACCGAAGTGACCTTAGCGACAAATATTTCTCTCGTAGCATGTTGCCAAATGTAAATGTTAGAAGAAATAAATACCCAAGCTCATGGGTTATTTAAGTACTTCACGAAACAGAATGTACTTGTCCATCGTACTCTACTCTTGCTTGTCCTTCAACTACGACTAGTGCCTGCAACAAAGCTTGCCATTGGGACGTTGTACCGCGATACACCAAGTTTTGTCATTTGATAACGGAGCAATATAAGATTGGTAACCCAACTTCAGGTCAATGATTTTGTTTGTTTATCCTTTCTCTGCAGTTATTAAGAAGGAGAAAACTGAGAAACAGCTGCTACAAGAGATCGAAACACCACATTCTTTGAAACGTACTTCAACAAAAGAAAAGAACCCTCTTCCTACCAAGGAAGGTAAGACACTTCTATGAGACTTTCCTTAATGAAATTGTATTCTGAACACAAAGTTTTGTGTAACTTTTCACTAAATCTTTCGTTCTTCATTTTAGACATTGCTGCGGAAAAAGCTATCCACTGATCACTCAAAAATGTTCATTTCGCTCGTGTAATCTGCGCCTTTCCCTAATCAGAACGTTTTTATTCCTTTCAGCTTTTTTATTCGAAGCTTTGTGCATTCTTATATTAATTGCTGTAATACTATAAATTTCTATACTAAAAGATCTGTCGTTTTGTTGAAAATGTACTTGTACGTGGCAATTTCTACGGTTCATAACAAAAGGTTTAGTATTTCTGATCTTGTTTATAGACTTAGGACTTGTCATTACAGACATCTGATCCCTATATAGTCAATGTCAACCTTTAAATTAACAAATTCGTTTCATTTCGTGGCATTTTTACACCCGTTTGTACCATCATAAGTTAACTGTTGTGTATTCTATGTGGATTTTTAGGTGATTGCCTAACTTCATTCTAATTGGATTAATTAGTTTTCACTAAGGATTTTGTTACACTTGCTAATCTTTATTGATCGTATTTGGACTGTTTTAAGGGTTGTGTTTACCTTCGTGGTCATTGGTAAGTCTAGTACAATCTCGGCTTTCCTTAAGTGTACGTTTACAATTTACTATACGTTTTATCATTGACGTGGTAGGTTCTCTATGGGGAGATTTAAATGCGTTATAAGACCATTGGGATGTCTAGTTTTGTCAGTCATCTCGCAGTTTATTGTGAAAAGTCCGTAAATGTGGATATGATGTGTAGGCCCCTTTGTTTAGTAGAAATATCGTCACCGTTTCTGGGGTCTCCCAGGCCGAGCAAATATCAACGTCACGATGTGCTAGTGTCTGTGGTTTTAATGGTTTCCTATGTAGGAATTGTAAAGCAATGGGGTGACGTACTCATGGTTTGGAAGGATGTTGTCAACATTTCAAAATTGTTTACAAGGAGACTGGCTGACTAGGTCTAGACACCCTTGTGTTTGGCTCCGTGGTCACTCGCTCAGAGTTATGGAATAGCTTGTTTCGTGGGCTCTTTACTACGGCGTGGTCAGTGTCAGCGCCCACACTGGCAACATTAGTTTCCCTGCCGAACATCAGGATCAGTTCTTCTGGGGATGCTACCAACTCTCATTGACCGCTTTGGTCTACTTACGCAACCAGCTTCAACGATTTGAACTTGAGAAGCGTTATTCTTTTATCTCCTGAAACAACCCTCCGGACTTCATATTGATGCTCTAAACATTTAAGACTTGTACCAAGTTAGACGATACGCCTCTGTAGAATACCATGCTGAGCTCATCTCTCACTCTTGGGACCAGCATAGTGTTATCATGTCTTGAGTTTGGGAGCTGGAGGTAATCCCCTCCGACTGTTCTCGACCGCTGGTTGTCCCAGTTGATAAGGGAAGACGGAAATCCTGCTGTGGTGACCGAAGGGGGGTCAGTATGTTAGGTGTAATGTCTTAAGGGTTAGTATTGATAATCATCTGACGCCTAACTAAGGTTCGTAAAGAGCAAACCTGAGAAAACCGGCCTGATTTGATACTTGGATGTGGGTGTGTAGACCTGATACACACCCTTTCTCAGGTTTTGGGTAGATATGCGTATCAACTACCAAACAAAATTGTATTTATCAGTATGTGGTTGTATAGATTGTTGAGTTTTCAGTTGAGGTCATTGGTTGGACGGTGTTTTATTATTACCATTAATACATTCAGGTATTCAGATGTTTATGTAGTTTTACAAAAGGTAAGAATATTTCAGTTGCTAAGACATAATGGTTACAATCCTATGATAGGTCAAACTTCTACAATATGTCCCTAATGAATGGAACATTTTTAGCAATTAGATCTGTGGTTTGAGAACCGTGATACAAAAGTTATTTAAATCTCTAGTTGGACTACTGGCAGAACCATTTCCTTACTGTTTGTATAACAGCTCCTATGATTAGTCCAAATATAAACTGTTTCATTGTCTTATGATCTACTTGTACACCTGACTAATTAGTTGGGAACATGCTCTACGATGTCCATGAAATGTGGTCATTTCACTTTTGTTTACTGGGAGAAGTATTCGTCTTTGGTGACTATTTGTGATATGGTATCTAAGGCAGGAATTAAGGTTTTTTCATCCTTCGACTGCTGAGTTAAATTAGGTTGAAATCACACTTAATTTGATAGATGCCGTTTATTGAATAAACAATAAAGCACACATGGTTAATCATATTCAAGGACTAAAAGAAATATAAACAATGAAGCGTATATAAAAGTACATTTATATTTGCACACTAATTCTGTGATATAATACAGAAATGACCAAATGATAAGTTCTGGATCCTAACCATCTCATGGAACAGTTCGAAACAGTTTTTTCAAGAATAGTCCTAAGAAAATCTTAAAACACTTGTTGAAGAAATCGATACTTCAGTAATTGCTAATACTCGAATGGGACCGGATGTTTTCCTTGTTCCTACTGAACTCTATAGTAGCTACTATTAGACTAGAATGACTAATGGAAATTAGCTTCTCCATTCTCCTAACAGGTACAAAACAACTTGCTACAATGACCTCGGAAATTTATTCTGAAGATTCTTCTTAGATTAGTTTAGTGAGGACTTCATTTACGTTTTCAAAGGAATATCATGAGAACGTGAAATAGACAAAGCGTTGAATACTGACTTCCAAACAATGAACTTAAGTCTCGATATCAATGGTATTTTGGAATTATTGAGTTAGATCTTAATGGTCTGTATTTTCAACTTTAGTTTACTTTTGATATGACAGTCTTTTATTAATGCTATCAATAAGTTATTTATTTGAACACATAAATATTGGTACAAGGGGGTACCAAATATATATGCACCACACAAACAATAAGAATGGGAAGAGCGGAAAAGGAGGTAAGTAGCGTAAAACAAAAAAAAGAACAATGACGACCAAATTAGTGTGAGGTAGTGTAGTAATAATAATAATAATAATGGGGGGAACGGAAAGGTAGAACCGGAAGAAATCTTTCAGTTAAGGAAGTTACAACCACTTTATATGAAGAAAGTAAAAGAAGGTTACAGCAGGACCACCACTGACCTCTATTCTGAGCCATATCTGATTATGTCTCTAGACACTATGTAGCGCCATCTCTCGGACCCCAGCCAGGAAGACGTGAAGGACCAACACAAGCCAGTCCTTTGCAGCTTTCTTTCGTACCACGACACCATGTCATACACTGACCACCTCTCCGCCTTTTCCAACCAGTTCCAGCGTCGGCAAATAATGCACGACGTGGAATTCTCTAGGACGAAATTCGTAAGACATGTCCAAGCCACCGAAGTCGATGTTTCAAGATGGTGAAACTGATTGGATTATCATCTCTGCGCCCGAACACACGATGCCGAACCTCTGCATTACTAACATGGTGTTGCCACTGGATGTCAGCAATCTTTTCGGAGACAACGATGATCAAACACAGAGTCGTCTAACATCCTAAACTCCGAGAGGCGAGGTTTCACAAGCATAGAGCAAAACTGCTCTTACCGACGAGTTGTAGATCCGACCTTTTACAACCAGACTGACATCACGAAAGCGCCAAAGATTGGCATAAGCCACTCTGGCTTTCACTGTACAAGCATTGATCTCATCACTCACGCCACTACCAGCACTTATGCAGTTACCTAGATACACGAACTTCTCGAATACTTCTATCTGCTCACCATCCAGAGTGAGTACAGGATTAGAATCCTGCCAGTCTTGTAGAAGTACTTTGCACTACGAAGGTGCAAAGCCCATACCGCGGATTGCATGGCTTGGGCATTATCGCACAGTAAGACAATATGATCCGCATACCCAAGGTTGAGAAGATTACAGGTACACCTTGCTGACGAGTGCCAAGTAGAACGAAACCCGTGTCCAGGGTTTCCTGTTGACTACCTTCAACCACCATCTAATCTCAATATATAGTACCCGCAGTGTCGAGTCACCTAGACTGGTGGCCACATTGCAAAATGATCGATAGCATTCGATCTGCACTAATAAGGACTAGACACGCATGACATTGATCGCCACTCAGTGATCAATCAATTGTGAAACTCCGTTTCACACAACTGACTTGACAATCATGTAATAACTATAAATTAGGGAAGTGAATGATAATTCCTTTTTTAATGAACTCATATGTTAGGAATGTATTATCCAAGTAAAATTTTATTAAAGAAAAATCTATGTAAAAAAATGAAGCAAAATCATTACCTTCATTACTGAAAAAGTACTTCCGTTCTTTCGTAAGTTTTCTTCAGTACTTTATAGTCTAGTTAATTGTTGGAATTCATAAGCAACATTTGTTTTCATGAAAAACACAATTTTATTAAAAGTGAACTACAATTTACACATACAGTACTAATAAAAGTTAACTATCTTAATTTTCTAGAGTAACGATAGCTTTACTATATAGTGATTGATATGACTTTTTTTTAGGCAAAACGGATAATAGATTTCATGGTTTTCAAATGGAATCTAACTAGACGGGATGTTAGAAACATCATAGGCCGGATCTCTAGTATATATATATATATATATATATATATATATATATATATATATATATATATATATATATATATATATATATATATATATATATATATATATATATATATCAACTAAAAATCTTTAAATCACAGTCAGCTGTCCTTATTTTATTCAATTTTTTAGTGTAGAAACCACATGAGTGTATGAAAATATAGAATTTGGAAAAAAAAGTAGGTTATTATACTGAAGAAATGTATGGAAGATTATTCCTCTGATAAAGTATTCGACTTGTTAAATATATCTATTCACTCTCTATTCTGATTAATTGTTAGAGAGCCGACATCAAATGTTTTGCAATTGGACTGTAATGCAAAGGAGTTATGAGAATGAAAATTTAAGTTCTTTCACTTTATTCACTAACAACACAGTTTTTCGACATAATTATCAAACTTCTTATCCCTTAGAAATCATTTAATGTAATTTTAATAGTATGAACTTTATTTGTCTAGGAGACAACGACTACTTGATTCAAATATGCATACTCTGGGATGTTTGTATGTGCGTATATGTTGATCAGATACTTTTAAAATAATTTAACGAACTCCTATTTCCATAATTACACATTAGAACTTCATTAAAAAAATATTCAACTTAACGTGAATTTTTTTATTGTTCTAATTCAATATTAAGATACTTGATCTTTTTGTTTTAAACATGGACCAAAGAAATTAATTCTAAGAATTCCCTCCAGTTTTGTTGAACATAATTTGTGATATTTTGTTCTTTTTTGTTTGAAACTTTTTAAATTTGAACAACTTGAATAAATACCGATTGCCACCAGTAGAAAATCTCTATCGATTCACTTTGAATAAAGTTAACAAACCAGTTAGTTTATAGTATAACAAATTGTACAAGTATTTACTTTTTGTTCAATGTACAATTTGTCCTATTTTAATGTGAAATAATTTATTCATATCAAAATAATAGTAACAATTACATGTGATTTTTGTTTGTTTTTTCTTACATAACAAA